TACCGCCACCCAGTTGCATTGTTTTTGTGTTTTTTCTCCATCGTGTGTTTGGAGGATGCAAAACAGCACTGGAACATGGGCTGAGGCTACATTGCAGAGTTCCGTGACGGTGATGCCAAAAGCAGTGCAGCTGAGAAGGCCCGCCAGGCCTACCAAGAGGCACAGGATGTGTTCCAAATGCGACGATGTCTCAAACGCAGTTGCCAAACTGATGCCTTACAGCCCCGGGATTATGAGCAGCAAGCACTAATGTTAATAGGGCCAGCGTACCTGATGTCGACTTGACAGCAGGCAGAGGACGTTGCCAAGAAAGATTTGGCCGTGACGCATCCCATCCGCCTTGGCTTGGCTCTGAACTACTCGGTGTTCATGTACGAGGTGTTGGGCAATCCCGATGATGCCTGCAAGATGGCGCGCACTGCTTTCGAGGATGCCATTGCTGAGCTGGACAATGTGGCAGAGGACTCTTACAAGGACTCGACCCTGATCATGCAGCTTCTGAGGGACAACCTGACGCTGTGGACCTCCGACCAGGAGGGAGGACAGGCCTAAACGCAACATCGATACACAGCAGCACGCTGAAACTCTGTTCCAGCGTTTGGGTGTGGGGGGAACCTGTGAACTTCCTGTGATACATCGTCGCGGGAGAAAGAGGCAAGTCTTCGGGTTCTGTCTGGAGAAGATCCTTTTAGACTGCAGGGCATATCCGGAACCCAAGAACCTCCCGGAGCCCAAAACCCCAAACCCTGAACCCCAAGCTAACCCCCAAGCCCTAGACCTTAGATCCAGTAAGGCAAAGCCTACACCTAAACTCCAAGACTGGACCCGAAAACCGAAATCCTAAACAAGTGCGGGCTTGAGGGTTGCTTTTGTGCAAGCCTTTAGCCCTTGAGGGCTTTACTGTTTAGTGGTCTCTGGCTCCTGCCCCCCCGGCTATGCCAAAAACCTTGATGCCTTGATGCTCCAAAACCTACAGTTTCAGTGGCAGTCATGCTAAACCCTAAAAACCCTAAACCCTAAACCTCTAAGCTTCCAGGTTGGAGCTACCCGCAGATCTCGCCCAACAAGCCTCGCAATGCCTGGCGCAAGGACAAGCTGCGGTTTCGGGTTCTGGGTGCTTCCGTAACCCCTCAACTCGCACAGCCCTCAACCCAAAACCCTAAACGCGGAACCCTAAACCCTACTACACCCGACACCCGGAAACCAGAACCCAAAGCTAGGGTTTAGGGTTTAGGGTTTAGGGCTTAGTGGTGTTTTGTGCCTTTCTAGTACTTTGCGAATACCGGGATATGGCACGGATCGAAATCTGTGTCGATATAGAAATTCGGTTGTAGCTTTTTGATATTTTAGGGTTACCGATTATAGGTGATCGGTGATAGATGGTCGGCAAAAAGTTACACAATTTTTCGGTTATCGAGTATGGGTATAAATTCGATCTATATACAGACGTAGGTACGTGTATGTATATATATATATAAATAAATAAATATAAATATAAATATAAATATAAATATAAATATAAATATATATATATATATATATATATGCATGTAGGTAAAGAAATGCATATGTCAGATTGCTTGATTTCCTTGTTCGTTCATCAGGCCTTTGGCAACTACCCCACTATTCCATTCTTCTATCGTTGCACCAGTGGTGAGGCGGTCGCATCTCAGTGCCCCTTTGCTCGACCCCGAGCCCTCAAAGTTTCAACCTTATGCCCCAAACCCCAATGCCCTAACCCCGAACCCCTGCCCTAAACCCCAAACCGAAAAATCTGGCCCTACTGTTGCTGATATAAATCCTGCATAACCTGAAGGACCCTAAACTGTGGGAATTGTGGTCTAGTCCTTGTTATGGGTAAGGCAGGATTTCTGTCATCAGCCGTAGTACCCCTAAGCCAACTCCAAACCTCAAACCCTTCAACCTACGATCCGACACCCCAAAGCCCAAAACGCCAGAATCTGGACAAGCCCTAAACCCTAAAACCCCTAAACCCCTAAAGCCGTAAAGCCCTAAAGCCCTAAAGCCCTAAAGCCCTAAACCCTAACAACCTAACACCCTAAACAGCCCTAAACCCTAAAAGCCCCATTCTCCCTTGTTTTCAGTTGCTAGGCGCCGATGCTGGAAGCCGGGACCTGGACCTGGAGATCACGATTGACCCAGAGACTCGGCCCTACAGTACCCTTAGGGTTTGGGGTTCCTTGAAGTGTTCCTTAAGGGTTCCTTTAATTTAAGGGTTCCTTTAAGGTTTAGTATGAGGGTTACGATAAGGGTTTTAGGGCTTAGCGACAGGGGTTTACGGTTTGGGGTTCCAGGTTCAAAGCGGTTGTGTAAGGTTTTGCAGGATTTGTGGTGGATGTCTTGCAGTCTTGAATACTTGTGCCACATGGCGCTCGTTGATGTCCCAATGGCCTGCAGAAGTCTTGCAACTTCCTGGTACACCTCCAGGGAAAGGTTGAGGCAAGATAGTGGTGGGGTGCAGCCAGCCTATCCCCTTTAC